GGGCAATGTAAACTGGGACATTAAGCCATTGAAATCTTGATTGATCTGAAGCACTGTACGTTTAAATCTTGCTTCAAATGTTTCAGCGTCTTATTTAGCGTTCAGCATGGAAGAATTCAGCTCACATACTGGTGTTCAATAGACCTCTAAAATGTTGAGGCAAATTATATGAAAGATAGCAGCCGAGTAAAACAGACTTAAATCTTTCCTTTCTCACAATTTTCATCATTGAGCGACTTTGCCAATACAAGTTAGGAGAGAAGAAATATCTGGGATGAAGGTAATTGTAGGGAGCTTGTTTTTTCAGGTGCTGCTCACAGCAGTTTACAGAGTGCGCTTTTAAAACTAAGATTTATTGCACTAAGATCTTACCAGTTGTACAAACAAGAAGAGCTTCCCCAGAGTGCTTGGACAAAAACTGGATATTTTTCACACGATATTCCGGATCTGAGAATCAAACAACAACCAACATACAATCTATCCTTTCAGAGAAGACATTTAAGATAAGTAATTATGCAGCAGAAGTTTCGTGGAGTAAATGCTTTTAGTTTTTGAATTAGCATGCATTGTAAAATTAATACTGTCATTGGCTTACTGTATTGCATTGGAAGTCCCAGTAGTTGTGCAATGCAAAGTTTGTAACAATTAAGCAATCTTAATTAAAGACAGGGACTTTAAGCTTTTTAAGAACGTAATCAGTGATAATCATATATTTCATGATTTGCTACCTCCAAAGAGGAGACGTGTACTCTGTGAGCGCAAGCATAACTTTATATTACCTAGAGTTAAAACTAAATGCTTCAAGCATTTTTTCCTCAATAAATGCTTATTCAATTAAATTCACTGTAATAAGGAAGTTCATGATGTTACATAATGTTACAATGTTACAATTTTTATATATTCTTAATTATATTATTATTATTATTATTATTATTATTATTATTATTATTATTATGTAGGTAGCACTAATATTGCATGGTTCAGTAGATTTCCTTTTGCAATGTAACATTGCTTCTGATGTTTGAGGAGCACTCTTATCATTAAACTAGTAACACCACTATGACTACTACTGAATGTAGTACTACTACAGAAACAAGTGGGATGGCAATGTAAAAAGGTATCAGTAGAGTGACTTTGGGTAATGTACTGCATTGTTAGTCATGTAGTAGTGCTTTGCCATTCTCATTTTTTAAATATATCAATAAAGTAAATAAATAGCGATGAACACAGTCTTAAAACAGGTATCTATGATCTAGATTGATAGAGGCTTCTTTTAACACAACTTACAATTTTTAGGCTCTGTGGGTGAATGTGGAAACAAACAGGGAAGAGGATCAGATTGGATCTGACAGTCATCTAAAAGAAACAAATAAAACTATGATCAAACTAATATAATCAGTCATTCACTTTAAACATTTCCTATCAAAGACTGCATGTGTAATATGAAACACTTATGGAGCAGGCACAAGGCAGCAGTGAGAAGTTGCTAACTATACTGTGGTTGAGTGATAAATGCCTGGACCTAATGAAAATTGTCAGTTGACTTTTCTGTTTTTTGTTTGCTATGACAGTTTTCTCCAGGATTTCTGCTTTCCTCCCCTAAATCAGAATTCCATATTCCAACTAGACTTTGATACACCTCAAAGTGAGCTCTTGATCATGATTGTTTTGGCATACATTTTGTATGAAAATATGACAGTACTTTTAAGTTTTACCATTCCTCTTGCTATACCTTGTAAATATATGACATGAATGCCTACAGTTTATCTTAATTTCATTGGCTTCACTAAGTCAACATCACCAAAAATGTTCCTTTTGTTTCCCTCATAGAAAATTATAGGGGCATAGTAAAATATAAACACTTAGGTGAACAGGGAGCAGGGGTTAAATTCTTGGCCCAAATACCACATACAGTCTTGTGCTAAAGTCATGAAAATGCCTGTTGACAAAATTAGACTAACTTCCCTAGCTTTTCATCGCAAACTTGCGATTGGTAAAGAAAATTTAAAGAAACAATGCCTTTTGTTCTGGCAAAATGACACAAAGTGCAGGTGGGAATTTTCCCATGAACTTTTGGACAACAAAGGACACATAAGACACATAAGACCTGATTTGAAGGGTTTTTCTCCTAACCAGTTTCCTCAGCTTTCTGCCCTAAAAAAAAAAGTCACCCCAAATTCCCATTCAACTTGCAATTGGGAACAGAGGATAAATAACCACCTCCCCAATGTGCCATTGCTAAGATCCTATTTTATTTACCTTTGATTTGTTTGAACATCTTTTTTTTCATTTTTTTTCATTTTTAGATGCAACTTATGAGTACCAGGTGATATCAAATATAAACATACATGTACCTGTCCCTGGTCCACCAGACAAGGAAACTCTGAAGAACTGCACAGCACTGCATGGCTCCCCATCATTTGCCACCACAATCACTTTTCCTTCTGCAGAAAATGATCACTGGTTTTAAATACAAGTAACAGGGTACTTCAAGGTGGAAAAAATTTTATCCAAAGTTTGCACAATTTCTTTCCACATTGAGTTTCTACATGTAACTCTAATCAAAATTAATGTGTTTGAAAAATGAGCAGTAGCTCAACAAAGACTACACATGGCTAATCACAAGGGAAATCAGAAGCTCATTAAGTATTCTCCAAGCATCCTATGTGCCCCTATCACACAATAGAGCACATACCTATGCCTAATTATGAAGAACCCAACTCCCCATATTAGGGTATGGAATGCCCTACTTATTGGTAAACTGGTTTCAGGAACTTCTGGTTCCAGGCCCATGTACAGGAGCCAATTTTTTTGTGTTTTTGGCCAGCCTGAACCCACCCAGTCCCCCTCTCCATTGAGAGGTGCTAATAAATCATATCAGTGTATCGAAAGCAGGATACATTTGCATGGGTGTCAAGGGCTACTCCCCTTCTCTGTCAGACAACTCTTTCTACTCTTTGTCAGGTTTTTCTTAAAAATCACAAACATGCATTAAATTGTGAACTCTTCAGTTGAAAGAGGAACTTTGAGAGTAAAGTGTCCTAAACAAGAATACAGTGTAGGTTCCAGCAAGTGCTCGGATTTAACAACATCATGTTGCACGGGCTTCTCTATTTCATCAGTCTGCAATCCTGGTAATAGGACTGAGGGAGTTGCTGCATCAATTGGATTGTCACAGTAAGCAGTTTAAGGTGAATTTGAAATTTCAAACAAGAGAAATATCCCACACTTGTGCTGTGCAAGGTTCATTTATCATATAGCTTACTAAATCAGTCTTTAAGAGCCTCAACACTGTGAAAAATCCACTTATGTCCAGAAATGCACGCAGTAATAATAATAAAGGCAGATTTGATGAAATTTTGTCAAAATGAGTGAATATTCATGGATTTGACGATTTTGGTGAATTTTAGTTGAATTTGTCAAAGTGAAATCAGCTAGGCGGAATTGATGATTTTGACTAAAGATTATAGTCGAATCTGTCAAAGCATAATCAGCTTGGCAGAATTGATGATTTTGACAAAATTTAGTTAAATTTGTTGAAGCAAAATCAGCTTAATGGATTTGATGATTTTGACAAATTTGAGTCAAATTTATCAAAGCAAAGTCAGCTCAGCAGATTTGACATTTTGACTAATTTTCACCAGTCTCTTTACTGCATGCATTTCTGGAAATACCTCGAAAAACCTGTCAGTAATATATTAATGATGTTTTGCAATAAGTAGAGAAAAATTGAGAGGGAACCTCTTGGTGTGAGGAATTCATGTGCAAGCACTGGACATCCAAGAAGGGATAACCAACCACAAAATGTTGTAAATGGGTGCCCAATGTAATTTTGCACAACTTTCATTTGGTAATAACAACAACCAAACAAAAATAATAGCCTGAAAGAGTAACAATGATCTATTTGTCTGCATAACTACCTCCATAAAAAATCAAACTGCACGGTCCACTTACTGCTAGAAAATGCCAGATCAGCCACAGCCACTCTTGATCGCACTTGTGCCAGGCATTTCCTTGTGACTTGTACTTCTGGCTTGATTGTGGTCACACAAATCTACAGATTATACACAATACCATGTACATCTCATACATTTAGAAACAATAATAATATTTATATCACCAATTAACATTTTTACCTTAAATCCTTTACACTCCAACACCAGTAAATAATTTCTCCATACTGTTCTTTATATATTTCCAACAGTGCTGACAAGGAGAACTTGTTTAACAATCAAGAGCTTTTTCTTGTGAACTTAATATTTGATTCAGGGGTGATATTGTAAGGAGAAATTAGATGTTAGTCACTCATAGAGGTCACAGGGTTAAACTACATTGTTGATCATGTAGTAAAGAATTGGACCCTGCCTAGTGTGTGTCTGCTGAGTTATAGATGCAAACAAGAAGTTTGAAGAGCATGAGAGAAGTGTATGAGTTACTCCAGGCACAGGCAAGAGCAACTCTAGCTTCTTCTAAATAATTTATTCTGAGTGCTGAAAAGACTGCTGTGTTTCCTCCAAAGAAATTACCTTGACAGAAAACCCAATTTACTTAATTGGCTATTTTAAAAACAACCTTGTGTTATAGGCAGAGTTTGAATTGAATACTGCTATGTAGCCTGCTGTGACAGCATCTTTTGCAGGTCAGTTTTCCATGTTTCATGGTAGAAAGGCTGATACTATGAACCATTGAATCACTCAATAAGACCAAGATATCACAAGAAATAATCACCAAGAAGGGAATTCTTGATTGTTATAGAAATTCACCTATTCATCACTGGAAATGTATAGAAAACAGGATGGACAATGTGCATACCTATGTTGGGGCATAAATGTTAAATTATAAGGAAAATGAAACAGGCATGTCGTAAGTTAAAATAATTCCAGGTCAAAAGAATTCAAACTAATTTTGCATGTACAGCAAACTGGATTAAGGCAGTGTTTCTGACACTGTTGGAGAAAAAACACTTAACAAGTTTAAAATGATTTTAACCCTTAACATACACATTAGGTATAACTTACCAGACCAGTCTCACTAATGGCCACCCAGCCATCCTTGGCTCTCATACCACCAATCTCAACTAAAGGGGGCTTGCTTCGATTTGTCTTGAAGCGATCACTCAAATTCTTCTGCATGAAAGAATGCTGGGGATCTTCAGACATGCTAAACAAATTCTAATGAAATATAAATGAAAGCAAATGTAAGTAAAGCTAAAAAAACAAATCACAAGAATCTTCCCAAAATTTTCTTTGGTTAAAGATTATTCTTCATTCATTTGTCTCAATGATAAGTTATAACATTGACAAGATTTTGCTTTAACTCAAGCGCAAGAAGAGAAAAACAGGACAGGAGGGGCCATCTAAACTCCTGGGATGGGTAATTTTGCCACTCAGACAAGAAAGAGTAATTTATGAACTTATTTATCCAATCAAACCACCCCCAAAATGGGCAATTAACTTTTTTCACTTGGTTTTGCACATGTTACATAATAACTCATTTTTCCGTATTTGATAACTTTATTGCCCATAAATACAAGTACCTCTTACAGACAGTAAAAAAAAAAACAAACCATTTTGTCTACAGTGCATGATTGTGTTTGATTTTGTCATGCAAAGTGCAGGTGTTAATTTTTGCTTCTAAGACCCTGAAGTTGTTAATGTCTGTTTTTTTTCGACAACTGAGCTTGTGATTTGACAGGTAAAATAAATCCTGGCAACCAAGCCATGAGCCCCCACACAAGAAAGGGAAACAGGCACCAGTTACAATGAATAAAGGGTGGAAAGAGGGAGGGAGGGGTGGGGAAAACTGCCTAAACTGATCATCATGAATATTTTCCATTCAATTCTAGGGAGATTTAAATTTGTAAATAACAGGGTTGCCATGGACAATTGAGCACTCAGCTTGCACAGATTTGTAGTTTTAGAACTGGCAAGCACTCACAAAACATGAAACTCTGAGTTACAGAACCAGCTTTTCTTAGGAACAAAATGGTCTCATAATAATTGTGCAACCATCTACATTTACAGGCACTCTAACAAATAACCTGAATCTGTCTGTCATATCTACAAGCATTTCCTTGACCTAATTTGACAGATGGGTCAGCATGTGTTACATGTACCTTAATGCCAGTATCTATCCATGAAATGGCAACTAGTCTTTCTCCTTCTCCAACATCAATGGTGCGGATGCATTCCCAGTCATTTACCATATAATTCTGTGGAAGAAATGTAAAAACACAACAGAAATTCAGACAATATATTCTTCAATCATGATCAAAAGAACTTGAACTCAAAGTATTAAAAAAACTGCAAACAAGTTTATCATGATTTTGTTGTCTGAAATAAAGAATAAATTATAGAGTGTTCTCAGGAGAGAACTGAAATAAGTGTGAAGGATGGTATATAAAACATCTAGTATCACATCCAATTTTAGAATTTCCCCAACAAACTCACAATCATTTTATCCCTCTTCATTCCCTCACATCAGCATCCGTGTTCTCTATACCCTACTCTATACATTTCTCTTGGCACTGACAAGGAGAATCTGAATAACAATTAAGGCTGGCAATCACTTCCTTTAGTTCTCATGATCTTAAAGATAGATTAATCAGTATTAGAGCTAAAAGGAGAAATTAGAAGCAGGTCACTCTTAATATTTAAAGGGTTAAATAAAAATGATGTATAAATAGCATCAATGATTGCTAAACTGAACTCAACTTAACCCTTTCACTACTAAGAATGACCAGCATGTAATTTCTCCCAATAATATCACCCCTGAATAAAACATTAAGGTTATGAAAATAAAGAAAATGATCACCAACTAAAGAAGCTCTTGATTGTGAAATAAATTCTCCTTGTCAGCACCTTAGCAAGTGTTTAGATAACAGTATGGAGATTATGCATACTGATGTTAGGGTGTAAAGGGTTAAGGGTCAGTAAGGAGAAGTCAAAGGTGACACAAACAAGCCACATCTGGTGCAATCAGTCAATAAATTTTGAAGTACAGTGGATGTTTCAAAATTAGTACCACTAGGATAAGAGAGTGTTTGATGATATTAGCTGTTTTGGTTTCATCAACTGAATAAATTATACAGTATATAATGGCATTACTGTGAAGCTGACACTTCTAACTTTGCCCTTGGTCAGAGCAAAAGCTTTCAGTTTAAATAAGTTAGACTATTGGTAATCATTAATCATAAAATTTTGATAAAAGACAGAAAATGCTGGTAAACCATCATTAACCTTAGATGAGTATGAACCTGGTTTCATTTTCAAAACGAATAACACAAATTAGACAACTCAATAGGAACCTGCCTTCATAGTCCAGAGTTTGCACACCCCAACAAGGTCTGTGGAGAGAAGTCTTGACCCTGTTCCATCCCATGATAGAGTTTGGATTAAACCCTCATGACCAGAGCTAAAACTTCAAAATACAGTAAGCAAATGATTATAAAATGTTCGACAACATTTAACCAAAAACTTTTTGCTTGTATGAGTTATCCTTTTGACAAAAATTGACAAGAGGGGATTTGAAATCACAACATTGAGCTCATTCAGCATGTCAAGCCTTTAACTTGATTTCAGCCATAGGAAATAATTCAGTTTCCAAAGGAAAGCAAAAATGAAACCAAATAAATGAACACATGAAAATAAAAAATAGAAGTACATTTACTTGATTCTCCTAAACTAAGCAGTCAAAATTCTCATTTACCAACTTAACCCTTTTCTCCCTGGGAGAAATAATTATCTAGTTTCCCCCAACAGTATCAATCCTGAATTAAACATTAAGGACATGAGAATAAAGAAAATGATTGTAAGGTCAAAAATCTTTTGATCGTTATACAAATTCTCCTTGTGCATACCAAGGGAAATGCATAAGGAGCTCTATGGAGAACTTGCATACTGATGCTGGGGTTGAAAGGCTTGAATTATAATCAAAAGACAGGCATTTTAGAGAAAATTACATTTGATACCTGCATACATCCCAAGGACAATCAGGATCCAAAATATTTATTCCATTTGTGACCTGTGATCTAAAAATCCATAACAAGAAAACAATCAGAAACAGAATTGTATTATAGGCCCAGTGAAGAGGCAAAATAGATATTCTATACTTCATCACTGAATTCACTTTGATATGGATTTGCTTTTCATCGCTGGGACAGGGCTGTTCAAAGCTGGGTCAAGATAACCCAGGGATAGAGTGAAATTTGATTTCAGATCAAAAAACCTTTAAAAAATTAATTCATTTTAATCCAATTTGTCTACAAATTCTAAAAATTAATATTATTTGAAAAAGACTCTTGAATAGAGAAATAAAGAAACTTGGATTAAAATTTAATCCAGGGTTAGTGCTAATCAGCCTTCAAACAACTGGGCCCAGACCTGGTAAGATTCTCTAGTGCCTGTCTTGCATTAGGAATTTGTCTCCATTATACTAACAAAGGAAAGTAGAACAAACGATTCTAGAATTAAAAAACATTGTCTTGAATCATTATTTATTTCTATGCATACCTTTTATTTTGTCCATTGGTGCCACTTGGATTATGTTCTTCATTGAGATCAAGTTTTCGGTAACCAGTACTGAATGCAATCAAGTTTCTGCAGGACCAGGCTACAACAACTTTGCCACAAGGATTGCTTTAATTTAAAAAAAAGCCATGTCATTAAAGTAATGGAATCTAGATTTTCCATCGTCAATAGTAAAATGAACAGATTTTACCGAAATGTTTACATGTATCTCTGGAGATCTTTTAAACTGAAATTGCCATAATTATGTTAGATCAAAATAATTATAAATCTTGCCGTTTAAGTTTAGAAGGCATGAAAGAAGAGTCGTGCAAACTTATTCAAAGCTATTAATGGCCTTGCATCGCACAATATTTTGATTCTCACTTTCCATTGGTTTATTTCATCAGGCTGAAACATATCTCAGCCCGCCAAATTCTCCCATTTAGCCTGCAAATGCGCCACAGTGCCCGACAGAGTGATAATAAATGTAACTCTCTTTTGTTCACAAATACACGGACGATATCATAACACAGCTGATGTAGATTAAACAAAGCTGTCAACTGGGAGATATTGTCTTGATATCTTTTTTCAAAACACCTCATTCGCATTAATACCCATTACTAGAAATGTATAACCATCCATAAGTATCGAGAACATGCTTTTATATCAATTCTGGATATTGTCAGTGATCAGCTTCATTCTGTTCACATTAGATCAATTTACTTTGACTTTATTCCTTGCATGAAAATAATCAATTGACAGAAAACCAGCAAAGTTTTTACCTTTTTACTGGTTTTGATGTAGACCACACCACATCGTAAATCAAATCCATTTTATTCCTGGTTTATCTTTTCCGCCATGTTGGATGAATTACCGCTGACCTATGACGATTGATACTAAATGAATCAACCGGAAATGACTTTACTACCAAACTATCACAGGAAGTGAAATTCAAAAGAAAGAAACGGGAGTTGTGCAAACATGTTTCTCACAGATTCCTAATTACCTTGTTTCGAAAGTTGTCTTTTATCCAGCAATTTGGTCAGGACCAAACAATTTCTTCAGGACGGCTGAAAGCCGATATATGGATAAAATGTCTGTGTGTTAAAACAATCATATGTTATGGTAGTATCCGCCTTTCTTTATTACGACGTGTGAACTAGAGCTTCGCCTTGAAACTCGCTTCTCATCCAGAGGTCATTTAAGAGTGCATCATCGTTTTGACATCATGGCTGCCGATATTACTACTGCTGATGTTTATGAAGATGCTTCTCTGATAGGACAAGACATCGAGAAAATTATCGATCGTTTTGGGCACGACGCAGTCATGGACTTGATGCCCAAGGTCATTCGAGTGCTCGAGAAACTGGAGGTCGTTGTTGGGGAAAAGGAGAAGGATAAACTGGAAATTGCTGAGCTGAAACTTGAAAATGAACGACTCTACTTGGATATAAAGCGAGAAGCGAGCCAGCGGAGAAAATTAGATGAGGTAAGTTTTGATACTCGCCTGCGTGAAGGCGCGAAATGAGCAATCAATGCTCTTGCAATGTCCTGCGACTCGTCGCTCGAAGATAATTTGTTTATGTAAGGAGCTTGCATTACTTCATTTAGATTTGTCTTCAGTCAGGGAGTAACGTAAGCTTAAGATGGTAAAATGGAGTAAGATTTATGATTGTAGGATTCGCTGATGTACAAATGGGACACCGATTTAAGTTTACCGAAGCAACAAGTTGTTGTTTTGAGAAAGATGACCTCAAAGAACGTACACGTGTGTTTAACTAGAACTGCACTGTTCGCAATCGGAGAAAGACGCGGGAAAAGCTAACTATACCGTAAATTACAGCGAGCGACAATTTGATGGCATAGGATCGAAACCTAATTCTTGCATCCCGAGTATTTCACAGATAGTTTCTGATAATTTTTTTGGAGGTAAGAGAACACTTTACTGCGTAACTCATCAAATTTCATATCACATGCCGATATTTTGTTGTTTTGTTTTCAAGTGTATCTCGGGAGGTCTACATATGGAGTCAATTAAAAGCTTGCGACGATCATAGTGAAAACAATGGCCATAACCAATATTCAATATCAATTAATTACGCGATATTCTTGTCCCTCCTCAATAATATCATACTTGAGGAATCAAAGACTATTGAAAAATGTCCCTTATTCTTACTTCACCAAGAGCTATGACTTTTGATAATGAAAGGGTTCTACTTTGAATTCTCACGAAGAGAGCATTTCCTGCCGAGTTCATTGAAATGATAGTTAGCATAAAGCCGTCAAATGTTTATTAGGTTCAGACTGCGTGAAGGCCAAATCATTTATACTCACAAAATACTTTGTTGAGGGGGAAAATGAGATGCGGTTTACATCCAATCATTTATACTCACAAAATACTTTGTTGAGGGGGAAAATGAGATGCGGTTTACATCCAATAGTTTCTGCACTAGCTCTAGCTCTAGCTCAATCCTATGTTCAGGTTGGACTTCAACCTCTTTTAAGTTCGATGCTGGATAACAACACATGACAGGGAAATATTTACATTTACCTTGGTCATGTTTGACATGAAAGATACTGTGATCTGATCTCTGCAAAGAAGCCTCACATTTTAAAAAGACAATTAAACATAACCTTAAGATGACATCGACAATACCTGGTTATTGACTTATTAGTCTTATCACTATCACCTGTGAATTATGTGATTTCGGTGCCAAAAGAATGGTTCCCTAGGAACAATTAGTTGATGGCAAACTTGTCTTAATTATATTTTTGACATTAAAGGTTATCACAGCAACTGCAAGGCCTGCTTAAAAGTTGCCTTTAATTTGGCTTTAAATGCTACCTAGCCATCCAGATACAATGTTCCATATCTCATCAATCAACCAACCTACATTTTTTTGTTTTTTTGGAATAATGAGGAAAGAAAAATTTTCTAGATATACTGTCTGACTGGAAAAATAATAATTGTGAAGTGAGTTACATTCTCAGTGAAGGTGACCAAGACTTCAATAGAAATTGACTATGCTCAATTTCTGGTCTTTACATTTTGGGAATGTTTGCATTTAGTGGTTACTTTCTTTTCCTTTGTCTTCTTCTTTTTGCCAAATCCACCTACTCATGTAATGAAAGTGACACCGATGGGAAACAAAACTATTCACAGGGAAGCCTTTATGATTAAAACGTGAAGTTATTGATCTTAGTAATTGTTATATGAAACTTTTTAGGGTAGAAGTATGTGAGATGTGTGACAATTTTTGGAAATCTAGTCCCAGCCTGGCAACCAAAACTGATGTGGTTGTACAGAGATGAAATTTAAACTCTATTAGATGGTGAAACCAATAATTTTATTTTCACAATCTTTTATAAGAGACTGAAATTCAAAAGAATCACAGATAGACGTTTTCATTAAATTTGGTGAACATTTTGGGAGACAACAACAATAACAACAATCTTTATTTCCACCCAGTATTTTAAAAACATTCTAAAGTTGAATAAATAAGGGTGCAGGATATCCTAAAAAAAACATAAGGGCTTGTCACAGTAGGATATTCTAAAGAATGAAATTACATTACAATTTGATATTTTGTTGCAGTAAATTTAATTTTGTTCTAATGAATACTAGAGTGATGATGAACAGTGATTTTGTTCATCTTAATTTTATCTCTTAGGAGCTTTATCAGATCTCTGCAACAGGAGAAACAGACAACCTAAAAGCCATGCTAATTAAACTTCAAGAAGAAAACAAGAAATTGCGAATGGAGGTTGAAGTAACAGTTAATACCCAACCAGGTAGGTGTTTTTAACATAAAGGTAGAGTTTACTGAGGAAAGTATTCTTGTTCCTCTCTACACTGTACCCCCCTCCCTCTTTGCACAATTTGGTGGGAGGTGTAGTGGTCTCTTGATTGAGAGAGGTCTGGATTGTTCAAGCCTTGGCTGGCAAGCTTGTTGTGTTCTGTTTGTGCACAGGAGCATTTATCCTCACAGTGTCTTACCTAATTGTGGAAGATTAAAAAGTAATGGCAGGGAAAATTGG